GAACTGTGGAGATAACAGCAACTACAGACATCCCAGGACTTCACCCTGGGCTCACCCGAATCAGGAAGTTTTTCAGTGAAACTGCTCTGGGTGCACGTTGATGTTACCAAGGAGAGCATGTGGCCAATTACTCACAAGACAGCTCTGCACTAAACAGTGCAATTACTCCGGATGTCTATGTGAAGGGAATTCAGCTCAGTCTAGCCTACCGGCTTTGTGTAGTATCTTCTCACTATCCTGGGACTTTACGAAGCCTGACAAGTTCTGAGAAGCCAGTTTGACTCAAAAATTAGTGCAGAAATCTGGGCTTTTTTAAAGCAATTTTAAGAAAAAAGAATATACACTGCACCTTTCTCAAATATTTCTTACAAAATCAGATCTATTTTTAAAAATCTTTTAAAAAGAAGCGAAAGAAAAATTTAAAAATCCATGCAGGCAAAATACCTGCCAAAGATGTTTTCTCTTGACTACGGGGCAAACAAAACTACATTTCTTTCCGAGTCCTGAGCAGAACTTTAGAAACCTCAGGGCAAAAGCAGCCTGTGGGCAATGTTCAAGGCTGTCAAGCCACATAAAGCAGCACAAAAGTCATCCTCCAGAAATGGGTAATTACTATATACAGATTCCAGTAAGCATGCTGGGGGACAAAGGTGCTGCTGGCACTGACTTCAGCAGGCTAGGAGAAGGCCTTTCCGCGCTGAAGAAATGCCAGCATTCCAAGGGCTCTCTTCTACAAGCAGAAAAAAACCCAAACTACAGTGGAGAGAAGTAAAGTAGGACATAACATTTTATTCTGAAATGATCTCTGGCCACGACAATAAAATGTAACAAATATTCACTAGAACAGTCTTAACTCCTGTCATCAGCTGTACAATACATACAGTATCATAAAACTGGCCACTAGGATTAAAACCCACTACAACATCTTTAATGTTAAGTGGCAACAGCAGCATCTCACAGAAAATTATACATACATATATACACAGTCCACATTCAATCGTTTTTCACATGTTTTCAGTACACACAGTTGCAGCATATTACAGTCACGTGTCTAAGTCGTTGCCCAATAAAAACCCAAGCTACTGCTTAGACGTAATTGTAGCAGTTGAACTGAGTAATTACAAGTTGTAGCAGAGATGTACAAGCCCCTAGAAACAATAATTCACAAATGTTATTTTTATTTAAATGCTACCATAGCATTAAACTGGGCAATATTCTAATCTTTGCTGACTGGAAAAAAAGAGTTCTTTTTGTAATTATCACAAATATTATTGATGGAAAAAAAAATACTAAAAAATGGAGGGCATTAAATAATGCACACTCTTTCCAAAAGATTCTAATATTGCCCAATGCTACTTATGTCTAAACTGTTTTCAACATTCCCATGAAGTCATTTATAACTCCAAACCACCCCACCGAGTTAAAAGTGGCTTAAGTGCCTTGCACCCAAATTGTAAAAATCCCTGGCCACCTTTATAAGAGCCAGGCACATATAAAAGGAATGCACTTTGGTTCATACCAAATGCCCTGGGATTAAATCACACTATAAAACTAAAGAGTTTGAGGTAAATTTTTACAAATACAGTTGATTTCTGTCTAGTGTCATCGTAACAAAAATTTATTTTAAAAAAAATCAATTTGATGTTAAAATACAACCAATGAGGAAGGGCCATCTTTAACCCCTTAATGAGACGTACTACAAGAACAGAGTGTCCTCTCCACCCCAGCAGTGTGATTGCCTTATTGTTTCTATTAAGGCCTCGATCATCTACAGGATGTTTTAAGACAGGTATAGCATTTAAAAATAGATTTCATCCCTACTATCCAGTATTCAAAGGGTTAAAGAGGCCAAGATGCATGCCCTACAACACGGCATTTGTAACAAAAGGCACATTGTTAACACCAAGGGCACAATCCATCCTCTATTGTTAATCTACACATCTTGCATCACTCTGTTGTTCCAATACACTTAAGTGGTAATGAACACTCCAGCGGTGCAAGAAACTGAGCCAAGTGAGACTGCAACCAAAGACAAGACAACACTGTGCTATTACTAAATCTGAAAATAGCTCAGACGTCCCCAGACAATGGTAACATGTGAGACTAAGCACTGTTTCCAAGCCAACTTCTATCAGCCTAATTATCAGAGCCCTTAGAATAAAATCACATCAAAGCAAGAGGCAACGTCCTTTCCCCCCCTCCCTCCTTTTTTACAGGTATAAATAAGCTACAATAAAAAGCAGCTACATCACTTAAAAACCTTGATGTAGCTGCTCCTTTAGCATAGAGGAAGTTCCACTGTATCTGGGTTAAAAAAATAGCTCTGCACACTATATTTTGGCCTCAAAGTTTCCGGTAGCATTTATGAAGAAGGTGGATCATAAATGCATTATTGGCATTAAGAACTGGTTACATGAAAAAGAAAATTTAGTGGTTTTAGCCCATTAATGACCCATGAACATTATGAATGCTTTCACCTTAAATTGCCACGAGAGGCAGGAACATGTACCTATGTTTCCTTTAAAATATATTAAGGGAGGTGATTCTTCTTCCCTAACGTAAGCATCCCTATTTTTTAATTTTTGCAGGAAGAGTTAAGGTAGAAAGGAGTAGTAAAGCCAAGTAGGTGGTGGAGGAAATCAAGATTCCCAGTTACTGTAGAAAAATACACAGTATTGTATTCCTACAGTAATCAGTTAATTTTATATGAAAATTAATATATCTCTTTTCCAGACTTAGAATTTACTGACCATAACTTACTGGATATTCATATTCCAAAAGCCACTTTTCTTAGCTGTATTACTATATTTCATTTTTAACATGATTTCATACATGTTTACATATTGCACTTACACACACTGTATAAAGTTGTGAACATTTAACACTAAATAATTTAATTTGACTAGAGGCAGGAAACAATCTTTTAAAAAAAAAAAAAAACTAAGAAAAAAGTTGATTGATGCTCTAATTTTTATAGTTACTAATCAACAAATACCATCCTCTACTCAGAAATTATTTTTGGAGCTTCTTTAGGTGTTGACTTTTTGGCAAGAAGTGATATGTTTCCTGAGAATTCTGTCATTTTGTATTTATATCCCTCCCCCAGTCTTACATTAAATTAAAACCAAGCAAGCAAACAAACAAAAATTAAGCTGTAAGTGGTAAATTAATGAGTATGAAGCGGAACTTAACCGGAAACTTTCTTGGCCTCTCAGGGGACCATGCTTTAAGTATTTTTCATAATTTGTACAAGTAACTCAGAAAAATCTGTGCATATAGATGTTGCTTATAGTAAAGTTATCGAGGTTTAATGCAATCCATTCTAGTATGTCTTGTTCTAACATCCGTAAACCTTCTCGACTATGTTCTACTTTGTTTATAAATCCCTTTTCCTGTGTTTTCTACATCCAACATAGACCACAGCCATTGTACGTGATGAAATACTCAGATTCCAAACTGTACCTGTTGAAAACATGCTACAATGTGTGAATATTCCTCTCAGGTTTAGGTATTATTCCTCAGTAAAGACCATTTTTCTTCCATGAGTGCAGCTCAAAGTGAAAAAGAAAAAACAAACATTGGCACATACGCATGCATGAACAAATCTACACATATCTCTAACTGTTCCTTCAAAGTAATTTTCAGCTACAAATGCCAAAGATTAAATCAAATTCCAACCATTTAACTTTCCTTTGATAATTATCCCTTATTAGAAAGTATCTAGGATGGTGTCTGCCAAATGAAAAGCTTTCCACTGAGGATCTTTCCGTCTACACTTAAGCTAAGGTGAAGCACTTTTCTACAGAAAGCAATGCAGTAACATAGTGTTTGCCCCTTTGTGCAGATTTGATCTGCAGTGTAAATGTACCAGAGAGGTCACAGTCACTCAAACATTGTCGTAAGAAAGAAAACCAACCTGTGAAATCCATGTAGCGTTAACAGTCTGGGAGTTACAGTATAGAACTGACAGAATGAGCACTTCTGCTTATATGACTTAGGGAGACCAAGCTGCATGTTAGGAGAGAAAAGAGAATAGGAGAGGCAAAAAAAAAAAAAAAAAAAAAAAAAAAAAA